ATTCCCCGCTTCGCACCGAACCCCCCCCCCCCCCCGGTGTCCGGGGACATATGGCAGTCTGTGGCAGATCTGGTTCTCCTCCCGTTTCTGACCAAATCACTCGTGACCCAGAGGTTGTCTAAACCCAACGTTTGAACTTGCCAAAGGGGCGCAGGGCAGCCTTGGACGTGGGTGATTTCCCCGGCTGGCTCTGGTGGCTCTGTGCAATGGGGCTGGCGGGAGGGATGGCAAGGCAAGAGAGTGGGTGACAGCAGGCAGGCTGGCGAGTGGCAAAAAGGACCCTCCTCAGCAAGGGGAGGGAGCAGCAGTGGGCTGGGGTTTGTTGTCGGCACAGCTTGCCACGGCGCAGTGCGGGAGCGCACCTTTAGAAAACTGTGAAAATGTTGAAAAGAAACCCTTTTCGGGGAGAAAATCCTGTAGGGCTGTGGCTTTAAGAAAGGGGAGGCAGAGCCCCGAATAGGCCCACATAGCTACAGGTCTGCTGTAGGGTTGCCAGGAAGGGCAGGGCAACCAGTGGGGGGACTTCCTTGACACGGGGGCTCTTGTGGGCGATTTGCTGATGTCATCCCCCATGCCCATGGGAAGTGACATCTACGCATCAGGCTGATATACTCACCTGTTTCCTGTCGTTCCTCCCCCTGCTGGCCACTGGGCAGCTGAGCAGCACTGCTGGGACCAGTCAGTTTAGGAACTGGCCAGCAATGTTCCCTCTAAGCTGAGTGAGTGTGAGCTAGCTCACAGTTTTTTAGCCTCCAGCTCACAGATTTTTGCCTCTGCTCAGGAAGGATGACTCCAGAGCAAACTAATTTATGCAGGAGCCAAATTGCTCACTCACAACTTTAATGCCAGTAGCTCACAAAGTAGAATTTTTGCCCCAAAGACTCCACAGCATAGAGGGAGCATTGCTGGCCAGTGCCACAAATGGGAGTCCGTTTGCCTGTTGCCTCCATCTGTACTGCTGCCAACTGGCAGAGCTACTGAGGCTTGGTTTGTTCTTGGCTGCCAGTGGACCTCCAGGGTGGAGTCCAACTGGGAAAGTTCCCTGTAAATTAAAGGGCCAGCCAGCCACTGATTATATGGGCCCCCTTGTTAACTGGCAATGAAAAATCCCATCCTCCTCAAATATCATAGCTTGCCAGGGATTATGGGATTTGTAGCAGCCCCATAGCTAGGGACTGTTTTGGGAGGGGGTCATGGGGGGGCGGGAAGCTAATTTGATCAAAAGTTCCAGGTAACCCTCCGGCGCCGGCGGCAGGCCACACACTCTCTCGGCCACTTTGCCGGGCGGAAGGACAAGGCGGGTGGTGGTCAAGGGAGGTGGTGGTAGTGGCGGCGGCGGGCCTCCTCCTCCAGTCCCCCCCCCACCCGGCACGTCACCTCCAGTACCAAAGGTCACGGAAGCTGGGAGGGAGTGTGCACCACGGGGGCAGCTCAGAGTGCAGGTAAAGGGCCGCCCCTCGGCGCGTGCTCTCCGTGGCTCCCTTAGAAAAACTCCCATGGGGCTTGTTGGGGGGGACTCAGGCGGCGGGGGGAGGCAGGCGGTTTTTAAAGCAGGTGCACGCGGGCTGGAGTACAGAGACCGGTCCTGAGGTTAAGAGAGGGTGGATGGTGAGGAAGAGAAGCCGGCAGGAGCTGGTGGCCATTTGGCTGAGTTTAAAGGGGAGGGGAGTGTCAGAAGGTAGCTCTGGGGACGAAGGATTCCAC